ACTCGATCATTTTAATATGTCTGTTTGTTGATTTATATAAACTGTTGCCATCGTTGAGACTCATCTAATAAATACGGAATCCTTCATCATTTGTTTTATCTCTGGAATTGTATATTGGTGGACCTTCGGGAATACGGCACACCTATACTTCGTTTTTACTTTACGGCCACACAGCGCCTCTACCTTATACTTCGTACCCTCTACGCCAACATTCCTTCACCCCGCTCGTTCTGCAAACAACGGATGCAGTTCCAGACGAAAACTTAGTACCGTCCAAATTCTACACGGTCACATATATATGGTAGTTCAAATTTATTTTGGTTCTTTGGGATATTAAAAATATATAAAACTGACATATTATTTTGAATAATTTCCTCCTTAGAAAGGAAACGATGAGTATAAGTTGGATTACCACTTGCAGAATTAAATCCAAGTTCTTCTAAAATACAATTGATAAAATGAGCCTTACAAACAAAGACAATGTTGATACCTGCTTTGTCAGCAGGGACCAGTACGTACCGATCATTTTTTTTCAAATTATGGATTTAAAAAATGAATGTACTATTTTTTCCTTTGATCGATGTATCAAAGAAAAAATTGGACGGAAAACTTCATCAATGCAAGTAGCATAGTTGTGCATAAATTTCAAAAGTCTTATGTCCATGATCATCTATTCCATCAAGTTTTTTTTTTCTAAATTATGGATTTAAGAAATGAATGTAATATTTTTTTTTTCCTTTGATCGATGTATCAAAGAAAAATCTTTTTATACGCGATTTTATCATGTATCTGATACAGTTATTCCTTTCTGACAAAGTGTCAACGTCAATACATAGGGCTCACAGAAGTAATGACAGGCCAACACGGGATGCTTACACCCTCTAGGCACCTTATCTCATCTTTGGTACTTACGGGGGTCAGTATTTATGCCCCATTCAGAGAATATTAGTAGATTTCTAGAGACCAATCATTGATCCTTATATAGCTCTTTCTCTTAAGTAACAAGAGGAATGAATTTGAGATTTTGTTCCAGAAATCTAAGTGGTTTATTTTTAATTAATATGCATTTTTAAACAAAATAAAACTCCGATATTTATCCTATCATAATACGGAAATCCGTGCTGACAAGTTGAATTATGTATGTGATCATAATATGATATTTCAAACTTTTTATTCGTTAATGTCAATTTGTAGTACCATGAGGTATCGATTAACAATAAAAACAGAGGAAAAAATCATCTTAGGTAATCTGTTTCTATTTATGTCTGTAAAACTAACACCGATCCGATTGACATACATCATGATATAAACTTTGTTACATAATCCAGAATAATGTTTGAAGTATTTGTATTTGCAAATAGATGCAAAACAGCGATAGTCCAAATGATTTTCAACATTAGTATTCTATCATTATCTCAATAAAATAATGAGGCCACTGAATCAAATGTAGAGGGAATTGCCCAAGTGAATAAGAAGCGCATCATTGCTCCAAAAATCTTTTTTCATTATTCTTTATTTGAGTCAAATGCTGACTGACCTTTTTTATACTGTTTGTTAGTCCAATATTTATACACTAAACTGAAGACGGATTTTTCCGTTATTCCCTGATCATGATAAGGCGCACACGGCGGATATGACCGGTCGGCATTGGATGCTAACTCCTCCATGGCACGTGATCCAACCTCTGATTATTCGGAGGTCCCTGTTTGTTCTGCTCCTATTTTGTATTGTTAATGGACTTTTGATCTTTAAAACTGTTCGTTATCTCCCTGTGTTTCATTCCAATGTCAAACATTGATACAATATATTCATCTTTATACCTTTTTTAGGTTTAAAAACTAGGTGTAAACCGGATCATTGGATTTTTTTAAATCAGAAAAAAGATAATTACTATGAAAGATTACACAGGATATATTCGTTTTATCACTTTTTTCTTAGAAATACGAAGTGTCAAAAACTAATTACATTGTTTCTTAAAGAAACTGAAGCGGAAGTGAACATATTTAGCTGAAGCCTTCCGTGCCGTGACCGTGCAATCACTGGATCCTCCGGCCGGAAGCTCTCAATTCATCATATCATTTTATGATCAGCTGAAACCCAGCACGAGAGTTATAGAGGAACAGATATACAAAACATTTTCTGAATGAAATCTAGATTTCATTATCCAGGATATTAAGTTATGAGGAAGGAAGCCGATATTATGTATTTTATTAGCTTAATATAATCTGTACACACTCTGTTTTAGAAATTGATTCTATTACAGTACCAGAAAATCCTCCGACAAGGAAGTTGGTATCTTGTCACATTGACCTTTGTATTTATTGAACAATCCCTTGTTAAATTTAGTAAAAAAAAAAAAAAAACAAAACAAAACAAAATACAAAAGCCTAACAATTATAGTATGAAGCAGGTCAGTCACAATACGACCAATGACATTCTTGATTTTATTTTAGGCCATTACAATGAGGCTATCTTTAAAAAATGTTTGGTTGCCCTCTCCCTATCGACTGACTGAAAAAATGCACGATTAATTACTTTTTTTTCTACATTTCAGCACACGATATTTTTTCTTTTTATTCTTCTTATATCCCGTCAGTAAATATTTTATTTTATGGAGAAAAACAGATGCTCTCACCTAGTTACCGAGCCAAAATTTTACTCTGATTTGAAAGAAGGCAAATAAAGGTTACGTATATTTTAAAGATGGTCCGATCAACAATTTACGCAATACTGACTTTTAACGATCGCTGAAAACCCTGTAACATCAACTTATAAAACATGCCTCGGTTGAAAAATGGATAATACTTCAAGCAAATGCTTAAGTGGCGAATAATATGAGAGGCATGAACATCACAATCAGGTAATGTCGGAATATTCGAATATAAATAAGGAGGATTACGGCTGTAAAAAAATGTAGTCAACTCCTTTGTCATTTAATTCAGTTGAAAGTCTTTGTCCTCTATTGTCAGTAAAAACCCGACAAGTTCCCTTTCTTCCACGAAGCAGTTGTCTATATTATCAAAACGTCCATTTTTTAATTTATTGCGAGGAGTGCTCGCATCGAATAATTGATTCATTAAGTGTATTTTGATTTTTCTCCTTGTGTTTAATAAGTAAGTGTCTACAGAGAAATTTCAATTTTTTTCAATCGGAGGAGAAAAATTACCACTATTCGAGTTTTCAAACTTTTCTCTTGTTTAAGGAGTAAAAGCATCCTGTTTGAATTGTGCAATATATATGCAACATTTCTTTGGTGAATAATTTTTCGAGAAATCTATAAACGGGTTTCTGAATTTTCAACATTAAAGGACTCAGTATTCCTATTTTTAATCCTTTTTTTCTATTCGCGACAGAAAAGATATATGAGAAAGATATGATCAAGAACTAAGGACAACATTTTTATTTTTTGCCTTTATTGAGCACTCTTGTGTTATTTCAAAGAAGTATTTCATCGACTATAACTATGGATTTTGTTGAAGATTATGCCAAACAATGGACCAGACATGAGAAGAAAGCATTGACACTTTGTTAAAATATATTAACTGTATGAGAACTATGTTAAAATCGCACATTTAGCGTGAAAATCATTTATCCTTCTGTATTCAATTATTCAGAAATAAAAAAAATAGATTTATTTCATGATCAGTGCGTACTGGTCCCTGCTGAGAACGCAGGTAACAATATTGTCTTTATTTGTACATTACATGTTTAAGGTTTAATTCTTCTTACACTCTTCGCCCCCTTTCTAAGGAGGAAAATTCGACAAAAATACAATTTTGCGTCAATCATAGCTTATAAAAAGTTCCTCCATCGCAAATATGAACAACAGAAGATTATAAATATTTTTCTCTATTCTTAAAATAGTTAAATATAATTTTGCAAAAAAAATTTCTGACATCAAAGTTGCAGCTCATATTGCTTTAAATAATACCATATATTTTTGAATGTACAGAGATCTTTCTTCTGAAAAAGTTTAATTCTTGATTTTAATCTAATTGAACATAGAAGTTTAAATTACATACAAATCTATCATAATAACACATTTTAATTCTCAAAAAATGCAGCTCAAATTGCTTTAAAACACCAGAGATGAAATCAGGTGTGTTTTAGAGTATCAGTCACAGTGGAACCCCCTATAAAAGTAGAGGTAGGACCAGGGGCCTAAGAAAAAAATGGGCGTTCCTTGTTACTCCTTAAAAACAAAGCTGGGATCGGAAGCCTCAAAGGTGTAAGTATCCCTTTGTCGACTGATCAAACCCACGTCTAGGAGAAGAACAGTGCAGCTGATTGTGGATAACATGTACATCTATATATTAATGTATGAGTAAGGGAGGTAGAAGACGGAAAATCAATCATCACATTTGTCATACAAAGTGTTATTTGGCAATTAACAAAACATCTTTTATTTTGAGTTCCTTAGGATATACATGTATCAGGTCGATCAATTGATAAAATTGACTTTTGTTTATTGATAGATTGCACATTGTTTAAGGTTCCTCTCGAGAATTTTTTCACTTATGTTAATTGATTGAAATATCGTCAATAAATCTAAATTTTGATGTGAAGGCCACATTTAAATTTTCTCACTTCAGGTTTACGTTTCTGAGTAGCCTTTGCTTCAGAGGAATATATCACTATCAGCGTCCTTTAAAGTGATTCAAAAAATAGTGTGAAGATGAGTTTTCCAAAAAATTACATTGATCTTTCAACTTTCTCAGCTTCGGTAAAATAATATTCACTCTAATTGTGTTTAATGCAATAATTCATAATCTATCTTATTTTTACATCTAATGACTCTACAAGGGTACACAATGCATGAAACAATAACCTGCTTCATGCATATATTTTCAAAATAATCTTTAAATTTTTCCCTTGAGTTTATTCTCTTTCACATTCAATTGAAAATTTTCTCCCATTCTGCATTCCAGATAGGTGGTCATTTAAATAATCATTGCTTTGGGTACTGATATTTCCGAGCAAATTGCTTCTGAGAAATTTTTTTACGTTGTAGTATCTTGTTCGTTACGATCACTGTTTTCGGAACTTCCTTGAAATTTGTCTTTGACACAGCAAAATATTCTCTTCAACTCCCTAGAAAAGATCATATCCATAAAAGCATATACAATGGGATTGGCAAAGTGGTTCACCACAAAGAAGGTTGTGAGGAACCTCCAGTGGAGAGAAACAGTGGAGAAGTCCGGCATACTCTCAACGATCATCTTAATCCCTGTCGGTATGTACGATATGATAAAGATAATCGTTATAATCATAAACATCAGTGTCGTCTTCGACATTCTTGTAACTTTGGTCTTTCTACTGCCTCGGATTTCCAGGGAATACTTTTGAGTCCTCTTGTGTCGGTAAATGGCTTTTCCGATGAGTCCGTATAACACAATGAGTACTGAACAACTGAGCACGGCGAAAACAGACAGAATAACACTGTGCACGATCGATAAAACAGGACTCTCCTCGGATAGGCGTTCACATGTCTTCCCCGTAATGTTCAGATTCTGCAACTCTACGTCTCTCAATCCAACTGTAAAAATGAAAATTACATTTAAAAGGAAGGAGATGGCTAGCGAGAACACCAGGGCCAGTTTCTTCTGGCATCGTGTCATGTGAGTATCCATTGGTTTGCATATCTTTTGGTAGCGCTGAAAGGCAATGAGAATTAGAATGCAAATTGACCAAACCGAAAAAAATCCGACAAGAAAACTTCCTCCCGTGCACACCTCCCTGTTTTTGTAATTTACGGGATTTACATTTATGGAGATGTTCAGCCCCACCGCTACAAGCATTACTATCAAATCAGCAGCAGCTAGGTAGGGGACGAAGAAGCGCCCCTCGTATTTCCTTCGAAGCCGCCCTCCATAAACATACAGTACGCACGAGTTCCCGACGACACCGATGATGCAACTAAAAACCAGAAATATGGTATTCGGAAGAAACGCTACCGACATCTCATTGTTCCATTGTTCTAGTCTGAACTCCTCATCAATTTGACTGGTAACGTTATCCATATTTGTTCATGAAAGCAAAAACGACAAGATTTTGTTATTTATTACTCTCTACTTTGCTTGGTCATGATTAACATTTGCGGTTGAAGTTCCAGACAACATATTTTGTTGTTGTACACACGCTGTCTGAACAGGAGGACAATCAGCGAATTAGTGGAGGCTGATGATTCGCAAACACTGAGCGAGGAAATGCGTAACGGAAGCTCAATAGATACACAACACTCTGTATGTCACTCGGAAGTTAATATTTTTTATATCTTATCTATACTTATAATACTTATAACTACACTTGTATTGTGGAACAATTTCCTGTAAAACTGATGCTGAAAAATTGTTAACACAATGTAATGTCCATATGCACTAGATGATTTAAATGCATTTTACATTTACGAGTCATGTTTTCCCTCCATTTTACCAAAATCAACAGCTTAAAAACTTACGACTTTTCAACTTTATACACAACCATTTCACGAATTTTCAACTTTATACACAACCATTTCCCACGATAAATTTAAGTCCAGTCATTGCAAATTATCCTGCGTGAACGAAACTTCAAAACATCTCATTTTTGAATGTAGAAATGTTAATGAAATATGGAACAGATTAAGTTTGTACCTGAAAATAGATATCAAATGGAAACATGTAATAATTGGATTTAGCTCTGAGCGCAATTTTGTATCACAACACACTCATCTCTTATATGTTGCCTATAGAATTTACAAATATAAGATGTACTGTCGACTAAATTCCTTAGACGGAACTAGTTATAACATTTTCAATCACGTTGAATCTTCAATTTTTTCAATGTTTCCATTCTGAAAAATTTGAAATCCCTTGACTACAAACTTTTTAAAAATTTTGCATAAAATATTTCTGTATCAATTGTCTTTAGGTAATGTCATATTGTGTGTAATGTAATTTGTCTGTCATATATATTTCACTGTTTGTTTGTATTAAGAAATAAAAATTGTGTGGCCTTCAACTCGACATTTAGATATATCGACGACGATTTGTCAATTAACAATGTTAATTTCTATACCTATGTCGATACGATATATATACTGAGTATCCTGGTGAGCTTGGGATTAAAGACACCACAGAGTCTAACACATCTGTTTCATACTTGGATATTTTACATGAAAAAGACGTTAATGGTAATCTAACAACCAAGCTATATGATAAACGTGATTACTTTAACTTTTCTATCGTCAACCTTCCTTACTTATGCAGCAAAATACCTTCATCACCTGCATATGAAGTTTACCTAACTCAGTTGATTCGATACGCAAGAGCATGCTCTACGTGTGAACAATTTCTAAAACGAGGTAAATTATTGACAAGCAAGTTGATGAAAACAAGAATATCAGAAGTCACGTTTAAAGTCATCATTTCGTAAGTTCTACGGTCGATAAAATGACCTTGTCAGCAAATATAGTATTATTTATCATTAAGCCAAATGCTGACTGCCGTTTTCATACAATTGTTAGTCCATTATTTATACATTGAATTGACGACGGATTTTTCCGTTATTTCCCAATTATGACAAGGTCAGCGCACGGCGGGTATGACAAGTCAGCAGGGGATGCTCACTCCTCCATTGCACCTGATCCCACCTCTGATGTTTCGGAGGTCTGTGTTTGCTCTGCTCCTATTCTGTATTGTTTTATGGACTTTGATTTTGATTACTGTTCGTTATCTCTATATCCTTCATTTACTAAGTACCGTAAAGCAGCTTTTTAGTGACCATCTAATTAATTTTATCATAAATCTTTGTTGTTAGGTTACCATTTAATTTTTTTTAATTGAAGTAACCACAAATGATACAGTTGTGTCAGACACTGTGGTATGTTTTGTTTCAAGCTCATTGGGACATATCGTGTCAGCATATGAATGGAAATAACTATACTTGTTAATTGATAATACGCTGTCAATATATCAAAATACGCTGTCAATGTTAATTTGACGAAAATGGTAATTTTAAAACATTACAAGAAATTTCAAATACTCTGATAAATAAATCTAATTGGTTGTGTGAATACAAGATTTTAAAAAATGTAGTTACTAAACGGAGTAATATGTTTGATATGAAGTGCTGTGCTTTTACCAAGACAACCCATGTAAATTCATTCAATTTTAACAGTGGTCTTCATTGTATTACAGATAAAAAATGTAAGTTTTTCTATGAGAATATGCTGTCTAAAAAGTTTAAATATCCATGTTATCAATCAATATTAGGTCGAAATTTTTGTGTAAGTAAAGAACACTGGCGCAATATTTATAGAAATAAAATCAAACTCATGTATGATAAACGTCTGAGTGAATTTAATTATAAATTGCTGAATAATATTCTATGTTGTAATTCTTTTTTACAAAAATGTAAATTAAGAACAAATGCAAAATGTGAATTTTGTGGAAGTGAAAATGAAGATATCAAACATCTTATTTTTAATTGTGATAATGTAAAAGGTGTATGGCAAAAGTTGAATATTGTTATGAACTTCGATGTGCAATGGAAACATATTGTTATAGGATTCTACTTGGAAACAAATTCTAGAATTCTTTTTTATAATACTTTTATATCATATTTGGCATATAAAATATATAAATTTAAAATGAAAAGTAGAATAGAAAATATCATACAAGAAAAGTCCATGTTAGAAAAAAGCATTAGAGGTTCATTAGAAAAAGATATAAATTTCATGTTAAATTTGTCAAAAACATACATGTTTAAAAACCAAGTTAAACTTTTGACAAATCTGTTATAACTTATATTTTGTAGTTTTTTTTCTTTGTTGTTTTTATGCTGGTTTACCTAAATACCCGGGTTAACTGGCTATTGTAAATGGGTATTGATGAAAATTGAAATAAAAGATAAAAAAAAAAATTAGGTCGTAGACATCAAGAAAAAAAAAAAAGAAAAAAAATACGCTGTCAATATATCAAAATGTCTTGTTGAAGGTCACAGTAAGTGTATTCTTCTTCCAGGAGCATTTGAATAAATTCTGCTTCCCGTGAATACAAAACTTAGGACTGTTTGTAATGGAGCGTAATTGGTGCCCATTGGATTTCCACAGATCGTTGGAAGACCTAATCTCCAAAAATTACATAGATATTGTCAATCAGAACATCAGGCATCTTTTACTATACATGTAAACTGAAGAGTACTTTTGTGTACAAACAGAATATGAAAAAAATCATTTCGATTTTTTCGTAAATGACTAGTTATAATTACTAGATGAGTATATTCACGAGTTATATTATTGATGAAAAAGTAATCATGTATGATGTCACATCTTCGCAAGACAAGGATTTACGGTCCGCTTCACTCCCCACAAACCCTTGGCAGATTACGCCACTAAAACTATAGCCCGCAGTGGCCACGTCTAGCGGATGTTCTGTATACAGGGAAATTTTTGCCCCCGTTTCATTTTCGCCCCTTTCGCCCTTCCCTCATTTGGGCGAATTTAAAACGGGGCGAAATAAAAAAGTACAGTATAATTTCTTTGATAAAACTATGATTGGGCGAATTTAAAACGGGGCAAAATTGTTTGCAAGTATGAAGGGGCGAAAATGGCCCTGTATACAGTATTAACTTCAAAATTTAGCCAATCGGGTAAGGGCTTTCATAATACTGTTCGTTCTTGTAAGAAAACCACAATGGCGAAGACCACGAAAGAAACATCTTCGCAAGCCAACCCCGTGGGGATCCGGGTTAGAATAGGTCCCCAGTACCCCCTTGCTTGTCGTAAAAGGCGACAAAATGGGGCGGTCCTGACCGTTCTTCGGTTGAGACCGTATAAAACGAGGCCCTTCACCTAAATTTGCAGCCCTTCACCGGCAATGGTGACGTCTCCATATCAGTGAAATATTCTGGAGAGGGACGTTAAACAGTATACAATCAATCAATCTTCGCAAGTCAAGGTTTTTCGGTCCACTTCACTCCCCAAAACCCTAGGTTTGTAGGAAGTGAAGCGGACCGAAAACCCTTGGCTTGCATTGCGATGATGATGATGTCAAGAACCTTGGATTTCAATGGGAAATGGTTGTATAATGTGTTGAAAAGTCGTACATTTTAATGATATTAATTTTTTAAAAGTAAAAATTTGTTATTTTGTTTTTAATTTTTTTTGTATATTCAGTTTGTATTCAGTATATTGTATATATATATTTGATTTATCTTGAAATGATAAATCTTTAATTGGTGGTAAGAAAATACACATTTTCTTTTTTTCACCTAGTGCTTCCAGCCTCAATTCTCTGTTCTCATAAGGAGAACAGGCCTCCGTATGATCGTGTAGACATACGTAGTACATCTACTATTTTTCTAATAATAAATAAATAATCAATAAATAAATAAACCATTTAAATGTAGTTAAATGTCAACATAATATAAAGATTGATTGATTGATTGTATGTTGTTTAACGTCACTCTCGAGAATTTTTCACTCATATGGAGACGCCGCCACTTGCCGGTGGAGGGCTACAAATATTGTCCTATGCTCGGCACTCAGGGCCTTTGAGCAGTGAGGGATCTTTTTCGTGCCAGCACCTACTGAGACACGGGGCCTCGGTTTATACGGATTCATCCGAAGGACCGGTCTCCACGTCCCCCAGTGGGATTCGAACCCGCGACGTAAGGATTGACTCCTTACTTCGCGACTCTGTAAGAGCAGACGCTCTAACCACTGCACCATGCGGGCGACCATAATATAAAGAGAAAATAAAGATGAGGTGAGGAAAATTGCAAATAGCAACAAAAAGGGGGAAGGATTTTGTTCAATAACTTCTGAACATAAATCAGAGATTAAATATAAAATAAAATGAGAAGGGGGGATTAGATACGTATTTGGAAGGTGTATAATTATGTGTATTAAAATTTAATTTTAAAATGAACAAAAAGGGGGAGGGGTTGAAATAATTTAGTTTTGTTACATAGTTTTTATTTAGCTTGAAATAATGTAAACTTGAAATGTAAATAATTACTGTTTATACCAATTAAAATT